TCAGGAGGAGAGGATGAGGCTCGTGAGGCGTGTGAGGCTTGCAAATGGCCTGGCGCCGTATGATTGTGGTGTCTCGTCTGGATTGAGGAGTGGAATGGCGGATGGTACAATCTCGTTACCGTGGAGAGGAGATCCGGGGAATCACGAGTGGCATGTGGAAGTCCTCTGCGACCATGGGCTTTTCTTGCCGTAGGATGATGCACCTCATACAGCCTGCAGCCCGTCTTGTTTCACTGCATAGCGGTGCTTGTTGGTCGGAGCCTCGAGAGATGAGCCGGGAGACGGAGGGGGCCCAAGGGAGATGAAGTTAACTTTTAGGCGTGAGCCGTCCGTAATCTTGCCCGTTGCCCTCACTTCCCCCCATGCCCAGGGTCAAGGATTACGGCTCGAATGCACGGGGCGCTTGTGATTCGCCCATGAGGTCCGGGTAGATCTCCTTTGTTTTCTGGCTCCAGTCCGGGCTGAAATCGGGAGCCTGGGTCTAGACCTGCACTGCGCAGGGTCAGATCCGATGGGGATAACGAGGGCGGACCAGCCACGGCTCAAGTCACTGTAGATGGATATCTCATGCATAGGTGTCAAGTGCTGGCAAATGGCTGCCTTTCTCTCATCGACGGGACAATACCAATGCTGTGAAGGCGCTCTGAGAAGCACCCGGGTTGTCAATCTCGTTCTCCAGAGATTATAGTCTCTGTCTGGTTATCATCCCCGAGACATCCTTTTTTTTCTCGACATATCCTCCCTGATCGCCTGAGCCAGGCGATTGATCGACTGACGGTCTGTCCCACGCCGTTGCCACTGCGGCCATCAATGGCGGCAGCCTGTCTGTACTTTGAAGGTCCTCAATTGATGGAAATACGAGGCCTTGTGCGACAGCCACGCAACGCGCCAGAGACAACCCCTCTACCACCCTCTCTTATCTTAATTGAGGCGACTCAGCCGTGGCTCACACTTGATGTCTTTCCTTCAACAGGGTGTTCTCCGTTCGCAGTTTGTCGAGTTCGTTGGCCATGCTCTATATGCGCTCGGCCGTGCCCATGCTCATCTCCTCGACCATCTTGGCAAAGCGGAAGAGGCGAAACACAATGACCAGTGATGCAATGTCTTCGATGATGCCGTGGGACAGTAGTTCGACGTAGAAGCTCGTAACGATCACTACCGCGTCGAGGCAGTGGAACCAGTCACTGAGATACCTGATTTGATGGTCAACCACATAGCGGCTTCGCGCACCTCGCGCCACAACATTGTCACGACATACTGTGCACGGGACAATGGCAACAACCGAAAAAGATCACCACTCTCTTGAGCCCAAAAGCCACGATGCAGAGGAACAGCCCGAGCAGGAACAGGCTGCTGAACGCCAGCCCAACTGTCGTTAGGGCTTGGCGCGCGTTGACTGTTCATGCCGGCCTCTGGACCTTCTCGTTGCGGCGGTTGCATTCCACCAGCTCGATGGAGATTTTCGCGAGTAAGACCGCCACGTCCTGCGCGACGAGTACAGACACGATTATGTGCTTCCTCCTCGATTAGAGAAGCTGCGGAAGCTGGGGCCCGCTGCTGAGGTTCGTGTAAGGGCTGGGGTCCGGCAGTCCTTGTTCAGGATACTCGTTAGTGATATCACCCAGAAGGGGCAGCTGCGTGTCGTCTGTCCGAGGCAGTCTATTTGCTCCTCGGTCATACGCCCGGGATGCATTATGTGACATTCTCGACGCTACGGTCGGCAACCTGGAATGTAATGTCTGTCATGTTTACTGGGGTTGGCTTCATTGAACCTTCTTCAACTACGAGGGTTGCATCATCATCCCCAAACTCTACCAAAATATCAAAGCCATCGACATGCCAGGCACGAGTCGCGAGGTCCAGTACTTCATGTAAAACCCCGAAGCTACGATTCCGCCAGAATGTGGTAAATATATTGGTCCATATTTCGCCTTCTCATCACCCAGTGGTGTATTTGACATTTCCAGTGATCTCCTACTGTGCTTCCTTATCCTTGGTCCTTCTCGATTTCCAAACCGTAGCACCCTTTCAGGAAAGCCCAATCATTGAGAAAGGTATCGTGGCGCCATTCTGATGGAGAGGGACTAAGGCAGTTTGCAGTAAACAGATGCATCAAGCCCGAGGCCGGGTCACTCACGCAACCATCACGATGGCCAATGGTGACCAACGGGATATCGTGGCTCTCGTTGCTCCGTCCTGTGTGATTCGCCTCAAACGTGGCGAGTTCGGCAGACGAAACTTCGGCCCAATATTGACCTGGTGGTATGGACTCAACAGCGTTGAGCGTCTCCATCCACACCACTGGTATCCATCCCGTCGTAGAGAAGCTCTTTCGAGACGCTCAGGGGGCTGCCCTGGGACATGAAGGCTGCGATAGCACGTACACAGGGCTTCAAAGGGCACCTCAGGCCGCTGATGGTCATTCATCAAATGTTCTCCAAATCTGTATCTAGCCATTGACTACAATGATGACGTTACCGCAAACCCCTTCACTCTGACCTTGAGCTGCCTCACCCAGGTATCTCTCTGGCGGCGACATGATGACTTTGCTCTGGCAGTAGCCTTTCGATAACGAAGCTTAGCACTTCTGCCTCTGAAAACGGGGTCGATGCTGCTTCATGGCATGGCAGGCTGCCTCCTAGGTAATGATATGCAATATCTAGGATCTGGCGTTGGCTTACAGCTTGTGTAATCTGGTGTCTGCTTTCAACCGCCTAATATCGAGTCTCCGGGGAGGTACCATACTTTCTTGAGACCTTCAAGATTTGAGAAGCATAACGAAAGTAAGAAAATGGGACTGCTGGGTACCTAGTCCTCCGGGAAGCCTGCGAAATCCAATCTCTGTCCATGCGCCTCCACCAACCGCGACGTAAAAAGTCCTGATTAAACAGACACCGCAAGACATCGTTGGTATATATCTCATCGTGAATCACTCGCGCAGCAGTGCTCATATCAGAACTTACACACCAGCTGCCCTCTTTGATGGCGCCAAGACACGTTCGAACGTGAGCTGTGATCTGGCGATATTGAGAATATTATAGCGGATGGAAGAGTAAAGTTTTGGCCATTTTTCTCAGAGATACAGTTTAGAAGCCGACACTTGGATTCGAAAAACCGATCTTTCAGAGTGCAGCGTGATAGTCATGCCTCGAGTGCGAGAGGCGATGTAAGTGAATGCCAGGACACCCCTCAGCCTTACTTCAAGGTGAAGCGAGGTGAAATTGGGCGGGCGATACGGTGGTGGGGCAGCTTGAGTCACTGGTTGAGCGTGTACAGCTTATCGATAAGAGGTGCCTGTTCGTCACTAACAGGTTCGGTACGCACGACGCGACCCATCAACCTCATCCCAGGAACGGCTCAAACCCGTCACCATCAACCAGCCTTGCCCAACGCTGCCACCTACCTTTGCCGAGCCTTGCCTTCGCCCGCACTTGCGTTACATCTTGCATAGAGGTGAGTGTTCCATAAGATAACGGAACCTTCCGTGCATCACTGTCGGCGATCACACCCTTCCAATGGGACATGTAGCTCTCGGACCGCATCGAACTCTTTCGCGAGCATTCCCTTGCATCACTCCTGCGTGCCCCCGCCCTATCCTCCCACCTCAATCACGAGCACTCAAACCTGAGAGCATTTCAGATGATCTTACACTTTGAACTGTAGAAAATCTCCAACGAACCACTTCGTTCCCTGCCGTATCGATCCTACCCGCGTAACAACACCGTCGCAAGCAAGCATGGCCGACGTCAAGCCCGAGATCCAGCCCGAAGAGCTGCCCGTCGATGTTGAGCAACAAGACACCCCGGCGGACAACCAGCAGGCTGCTGAGGATGATGGTCACGATGAGGTGGGCAAGTCCTTGCAGCGCAGCTAGCAGGAACAAGAGGAGGCATCGTGAGACTGACCCTCAGGGTTTAGGAAGAAATCTCGGCCATGAAGCGCCGTGTTGCCGAGATGGAAGAGGAGGCTGCCAAGCTGCGAGAGATGCAGGCTACTCTGGATACCCAGACCCAGGACGTCTCGGATAACAAGGAGGATATTGACAGTCGCAGTATCTTCGTCGGCAACGTCGACTATTCGGCCTCGCCCGAGGAGATCCAGGCTCACTTCCAGAGCTGCGGGTCCATCAACCGAGTCACGATTCTGCTCGACAAGTTCACCGGCCAGCCCAAGGGGTGCGTTTGCATTTCCCCTCCCCGCCAGGAGGCCTGCCGTCGCTAATCAAGCCCCATTGCAGATACGCCTATGTTGAGTTTACCGAACCCAGCCTCGTTGCCCAGGCTCTCGTTCTTAACGAGAGCGTATTCAAGGGCCGCAACATCAAGGTCGTCCCCAAGCGCACCAACATCCCCGGCATGACCCGTGGACGCGGTCGGGGTGGTATGCGCGGCGGCCGCGGCGGCTTCGGTGGCCGGGGTGGCTTCAACCCGCGGGGCTACAGAGGCGGATACCGCGGACGCGGCGGCAGAGGATTTACCCCGTACTAGGTGTGCGACGATGTATACCCTCTACACGACCCTGCAGCCCCGATCTGCCAGTATCGCTGATACGTGTAGCAGAAGCGCACGAAGTAGAAGAAGACGGGCTTTTTTTTCTTTTTCTCATTAAGGCATGGGTTTCCGCTTCATTGTACCATATTATCAACCGCTCGGAAGCAATGGGCGCCGCGAGCTCCCTTTTCGGCGTTGTACGGTTTCGCTATTTCTCTATCTCCGGCTCGGCCTCATCCCTCCAGCACGCGGATCAAACTCGAGGGACTTGGAGCCCGCGCACCAGTCTCTCGGAACCTTCCCGAGAGATTCGGCCGCGCGGAGTCCGCGGACTTGGATCTTGTGCGCTACCTCAGCGTTTCGACGCCTGGAAGCACAGCTATTCTCTCTTAAGGCAGCAATTCCACCGGTTTCATTATGACAGTGAACGCTCTCTTCACCCTCAGTGCCATGAAACAGCGGGTGCGTCTAGAGCGGCCTATGACTTCCTTGGTGCGAAACGGAAAAAAACACGGCACATGCCCCCGCCCTCTGGTCAGACAGAAAAGCTGCCAATGGAGAGACTGAAGGTTGAGGGCCTTGATGCCGCACGACTAAAGGCGTGTAGCATGTACCCACATCCAGCAGCTGTCGTCACTTCCCTAAGCTTGCGCAGGCAAAATGGGTGGGAGACGGCCCTGACCAAGTCTTTGTCGCCAAACAGAGGACGCCTCACTTACATAACTAGGACTGCATAGGAAACCCAGAGACAAGGACGCTTCAGTGAACCCGTGAGGACAATCTATAATTAGGACATCTCTTGCTCCCGTGTCAAAATCTCTTCTGATAATGTACATTAGAAGGAGGTCGCCCCACGAAACCGAGCCCAAAGGATCCTCCTAGTCGGCAGGACAAGAAAGCCCATGCAGTCCAGGCCAGTGATCATCTCGGATCTCTGTGTTCTCGTCTCCTGCATGGCACCTAGTAGGTACCTTAGGTAGGTAGACCGATGAAAACCCACGGGCGTCCAGTCACGAATGTGGCTAGGGCATTGGCTAGGCCGGGTTCGTCAAGAACGGTTGTGGCTTCATGGTGCCCGTTGAGCCACACAAATTCAATGGACACCAACGATGGACAGTCTCGGCTCGGGCATAAGATCTGCAGAAGAAGGTCTCAGCTGCTTCTCATTGTCTGATGGCGGCCTTGTCTGCCGACTTCTATCTTTGGCAACCAGCAAGACGGAGGGCGCGTAAGTGCCTTAGTAGGACAGGTCAGATAACCTATGTTGGGGCAAAGGCGAGCGAATGAGTGCTGATGGTGTGGCACGGAAAGCGGCACGACACGGCGCACACAGTGCAGAAGTCTTGACAGTTCGCTCCGATATCGCGTCGAGTTCTTACTGCTTTCTCTTCTTCTACCAAGCTGACTGACGACATTCTTCACCAGTGGGTTCTACGCCAGACACGCTTTGATATGTAAGCCCATGAACATCGGTTGTGGCTGAGCCGTGAATGCATGCCGCCTCTCTCACTTTACGCGCATCTGGGAGGCTCGGAGGTTTGGACCTGCGTCAGCGGTGTCTGTGGACGGTTAAAGAAGCAGCCCGAGCGAACAACAATAGAGACACATGCACGAGGGACACCGAGAGAGAAAGAGAGAGAGAGAGATGAATGGGCCTTGAAGCGCTGCTTGCGTGGTGAGTGAGGCGCGGCGTGAGATGGATGTGACGCCAGGCCATCTGTGTGCCAGGGGTCTCTGTTCCAGGGCCAAACGTGGATGGCCGAGCGGGAGGCAGCCCGGGTTTGGGACTGGGCTCGGGTTCGGGCCCGAGTGTGACGGGCAGCTTGTTTGCCATGGGCCTTGGTGGTCTCCGAAACACCGTAGTAGACTGCTTGTTGTGGCAGAGGCAAAGGGTCTGGGGAGGCGAGAAAACGAAGAGCTTCAACTTTTCGCCATTGCATTTGTCAGTCCTCTTGCGGTCGAGTTGGCTTGTGAGCAAGGGGATTAGGCAGTCGTGACTAAACACTCTAATGTTGCTCATCAATCACGTCCAGAGCCACCTATGTACCTTTTAGGGAGGGTACCTCAAACTCGGAAACCCAAGCAGGGACTAGTGGAGCTCCGAACACAGTGACGGGAGAACGGGAGGCTGAGGAGGGGCGATTTAGATGCTTTGGGCCTAGGGGTTATGGGAGGGGGGCCTCACTTCACCTCACGTCCCAGGTGCATCTACTGTGCAGAAGGTCAATGAGTTGGGGGAGGGGGGGGGGTAAAAGTACCACCCAGCATCACTTGGCTGGTGACAGAGGGCCTGGCGCCGCGGCGCAGTCTGCTAGCGAACGACAAGTTACTTTCGAACGCAATATGTTGCTGCTAGGTACATTTCGATTTGATCGCCAAGGAGCATGCTAGGGGCCACGGCCAAGGGCGAAGAAGAAGGAGAAGGAGAAGGAGGGGAGGCGAGGAAGGAAGACTTGGCCAAGTGATTCGCCCCCAGTCCAGGTCCACGACACGCCAGTCGCCCGTGTCAGTCAGTTCCAGCTCGGTTTTCAGGCAGCGGTTCCCTGCCTGAGGGAGGAGGGAGGGGAAGGGAGGGGGGGGGGGTCCGAAGTGCTGGTGCTGGTGCTGCTGGTCTGATGCATGGAGCGAGGCCAGAGACCGACTGCCTGCCAACCCGCCTACCCTTCCGCCACTCCTGCCACTCCTGCCACTAAGAACTCCGGCTGGACCACCACAGCCTTAGTGGATTGGATTACCTCACATCCCCTCGCCTCTCCCGGCCTGCCTGAGGTAGGTGGGTTCCCTACCCACCTAGGTACCTACCTTAGGTACCTTAGGTACCTTACCTTACTCAAGAAGAGGTGGGTGGTTTGTGCACGCACGCACAGTACATCAATCAGCCAGGCAAGGTACCTGCCCGTCCGCTTTACCCACACAAGCACCCGGTAGGTACAGGTGGCAGAGCCAGCAAATAGCACGCGGGCCGCCGACAACAGCGTCTTTGTCCCGCCATTGCGGCCTCTCCTCCACCATCTTCCCTCCTCGAAGCATCGCTTGTACTCCGAGCTGCCTTTACGTCGACCGCAGTTCCTCTCAGGTCGTCTGCCCTCAAGCCGACCCGTTCGCTATCGCACTCGCTCCGCCCGAGTCCCCAACCTCCCCTGTGGTGGCTTTCCACTGCAAGTGTCGCTAGGTGTCCGCGTCACCTCATCACCCTGACCCAAGACGCCCAGCCCACCAACGCTGCCGGGCCCGTGAAGCGGGGGGTGGTCGTCTGCACGACACAGCCTCAACTCTGCCATCGACAGCGTCGTCAACACGACCGCTTAGCATCCTGCGACGCCTTCTCCGGCATCCATTTCCAGCCGTCATTGTTTCCTTCGACACCCTCGCGTTTTACTGCTAGACAATCCATCGTTATTGCCTCGCGCCTGGCGACTGTTTGCGACCATGAGCAACGCGCGCAATGCTGGCGGTCCCGCTGCTGGGTAAGCTTCAATCCAGCCCCCCCCCCTTCCCGAGAGGCTGTCGACTGTCCTATCTGGTGCCTGGGGTCTTGGGCTCTCGGCCGACGCTCGATGCACAGCAGAGAGTTGCAGGTCTGCTACGTGAAAACTGGGTTACTAACGTTTGGGGGTTCCAGGTCGCCCAACCTCCGAGTGACGAGTTCGTCCCGGGCCCCTCGACCGCTCCCCCCGCCTACCCTCGCTAACAGTTCAATCCAGTCATCGCAGCAGAACGGCCCGGTACAAGCGAGATGTCTTCCGTATGACGATTCCAAAACACTCTATAATCCATACCCAGGGATGGATCGGCGCTTGTTGACACTGGGGGGCCCCGCGCAGGGTTTCCCCCGAACCCCTTTTGCCGGTCATCACTGCCAATGGCGACCAGACCAAGGACGACCACGGCCCCAAAAGAGAACGTTGAACCGAACTGGAATTAAAGTTATGATTGTGTGTTGCCCGCGTTTGGCCTTACCGGGAGTGGCATGAAATGCACAGCGAGCTGACCGGAAAACAGATCGGTCACCGAAGATACCATTTTGGCGGTACAGGTCTTTGACCAGAAGAAGTTTAAGAAGAAGGACCAGGGCTTCTTGGGCGTCATCAATGTTCGCATCGGCAACGTCATCGAGCTCGCCCCTGATGCAGACGGTAAGCCGCCCGCCGAGGGGACCTGGATCGCTCGCTCGCTGGCCTTGCGTCTCACTAGCTAACCTGGCCGTCTTCTCTCTCCTTAGACCAGATGCTCACCCGTGACCTCAAAAAGTCGACCGACAACTTGGTCGTCCACGGAAAGCTCATTATCAACCTATCCACAAACCTGGCAACCCCCGCTCGCGGCCAGACCGCTGCGCCAAACCGCCCCGGTCCGCCTCCCTCTGCGAATGCATCGAGCCTGTCCACCCCGCAAACCGACAACAGACCGGGCTCGGCCATGGAGAACCCCTCGAGCACTCTGGCGCCCGGATCTGCCACCAACCTGCCTCTACGACCCGCCAGCGTGACACCAGGCGGTCCTCCACCTCCCGCTGCTGGCGCAGCCCCGGCTACCGGTTCGACTCCTCGACCCACAAGCCAATTGAGCCCCTTTGAGGATGGACAAGGGCGGCTGCCAGCAGGCTGGGAGCGCCGGGAAGACAACCTGGGACGGACGTATTACGTTGACCACAACACGAGGACGACCAACTGGAACCGTCCCACGGCTGCCGGTGCTGCCGAGCAACAAAACAACCGTGAGGCGGCTACGCAGGTCGAACGCCAGCGTCATCAGAACCGAACTCTACCCGAAGACCGCACCGGGGCCAACTCGCCGACGCAGCAGCAGCAGCAGCAGCAGGTTCAGCAGGCCGCACAAGCTTCAAACAACCAGACCATGATGCACACCGGTGCCACCAGCCCGGGAACCGGTGAGCTTCCTCCCGGATGGGAACAGAGGTGGACGCCTGAAGGTCGCCCCTACTTTGTCGACCACAACACAAGGACGACCACCTGGGTCGACCCGCGACGCCAGCAGTACATCAGGATGTACGGCGGACAGAACAACCAGAATGGCACCATTCAGCAGCAACCCGTGTCGCAACTTGGCCCTCTTCCTAGCGGCTGGGAGATGCGTCTGACGAACACGGCGAGGGTGTACTTTGTCGACCATAACACCAAGACGACGACGTGGGACGATCCTCGCCTCCCTTCATCGCTCGACCAAAATGTACCGCAGTACAAGCGTGACTTCCGCAGGAAGCTTATCTACTTCCGTTCGCAGCCTGCGATGCGCATCCTCTCCGGGCAGTGCCACATCAAGGTGCGGCGCTCGCACATTTTTGAAGACTCGTTTGCCGAGATATCAAGGCAGTCGGCGACGGATCTGAAGAAGAGGCTGATGATCAAGTTCGATGGAGAGGACGGTCTTGATTACGGCGGTCTTTCTCGTGAATTTTTCTTCCTCCTGTCCCACGAAATGTTCAACCCCTTCTACTGTCTTTTCGAATACTCAGCGCACGACAACTATACCCTTCAGATCAACCCTCACTCTGGCATCAACCCCGAGCATCTCAATTACTTCAAGTTCATCGGACGCGTTGTTGGTCTGGCCATCTTCCACCGACGCTTCCTCGACGCCTTCTTCATCGGCGCCCTATACAAGATGATCCTCGGCAAGTCCGTCGTGCTTGCGGATATGGAGGGCGTCGACGCCGACTTCCACAGGTCGCTGCAGTGGATGCTGGACAACGATATCTCGGGCGGTATCCTCGAGCAGACGTTTTCTACGGAAGACGAGCGCTTTGGAGTGATTTGCGTCGAAGACTTGAAGCCCGATGGCCGCAACATCGATGTGGACAACGACAACAAGAAGGAGTATGTCGATTTGATGGTCAAATGGAGAATTGAGAAGCGCATCGCCGAGCAATTCCAGGCTTTCCAGACTGGCTTCCACGAACTCATTCCCCAGGACCTCATCAACGTTTTTGACGAACGCGAGCTCGAGTTGCTTATTGGTGGTATCGCTGAAATTGACGTTGACGACTGGAAGAAGCACACTGACTATCGCGGCTACACTGAATCGGATGAGGTTGTCCAGTTCTTTTGGCAGACCATCCGCTCCTGGGACGGAGAACAAAAGTCACGTCTGCTGCAGTTTGCCACGGGTACTTCCCGAATCCCTGTCAACGGTTTCAAGGATCTTCAGGGCAGTGATGGCCCCAGACGCTTCACGATTGAGAAGGCGGGCGAAGTCAACAACCTTCCCAAAGCGCACACATGGTATGTTCTCACCCTCATGAAGACACGAGCACAAGGAAAGAGACTGACACGCAACGCAGTTTCAACCGCTTGGACCTGCCGCCGTACAAGAATCTAGAGGCGCTGCAACAGAAGCTGACGATTGCTGTTGAAGAGACCATGGGCTTTGGTCAGGAGTAATGTTCTGATCGGTCTTACTCGACCGACTTGTGTGTTTTGGTCGCCGAGACGTGCAAGAAGAGGCAGCTTGGGCATTGTATGTTGGCCGTCTGTGACCAAGCATGGGTTGGTTGGAGATACTTCATTGTAAGGATTTACGCTTAAGAAGGAATTGTCGCACCTCAGGTCTGCAAGCATCATTGTCTTGGGTGTTTTCGCCATTCCTTGGACGACGAGCGGTCGTTGGGCGCGGGCGGTGGCTTTCTATTGGAATACATTTTCGCTTTCATATTTGGTTTTGTTTTGTTTTTTCCTTCTCTACGGCCTGCATCATTGCGAGCAGGCGGTGAATAGAGGTCCTGGTTGACTGGTGTTTTGAGCGAGGCCTTGTGCGAGAATTGAATGCTAATCGGCTCTCATTGTCGATGTCTCTGCTGTCTCCTCTGTCTCCTTCTGTGTCAATACTGACCTCTGCCTTCTCCGCTTCATCGTGAATTAGCTATGCTAATATTCTTTTCTCTCTGTTGAGAATAGCCATTGCACGTGCAAGGACAACGTCGTGGTAAAACTCAGGCGGGCCTTTTCGTGTTGTACAACCCATCTCCAAGGTCAATCTGTCGATGGATCCTTCTGCCCTATGTACAGTTGGTCCACGCGCCAATGTCACAAAGAAAAACGAGCCCTGGCCGAATAACCCTCCGAACCAACAATCTTGACACCACGATTCGGAAGGTGGAGAGTCGGGCAACCTCTCCTAAGAAAAAGCTCTCCTCATCCCGCCTCCGCCACCCTTCTTTTTGTCTGCTCCCACTTCCTCAGCTATCCATCCCGCACACACCGCCGGACTCCACGGAGAAGCCAGCATTCGGCCACCCACGTCCACGCCGAGAGTCGATCCGACAAAGGGGGGGGGACAGTCTGGCCCGGGCATGGAGAGAAAATGCGTGCGAAGCAAGAGCAGATACACAGAACGAGGCGCGCCTACTTCCTGTGCCACATCCTCGTGATCTTGGTATTACGCATCTTGCGCTGGAGCTGGAAGATGCCGTACATGAGGGCCTCGGAGGTCGGGGGGCAGCCGGGGACGTAGACGTCGACAGGGACGATGCGGTCGCAGCCGCGGACGACGGCGTAGCTGTAGTGGTAGTAGCCGCCGCCATTGGCGCAGGAGCCCATGGAGATGACCAGCGGGGCTCGGGCATCTGGTCGTAGACCTGGCGCAGGGCCGGGGCCATCTTGTTGGTGAGAGTGCCGGCGACGATCATGACGTGCGACTGGCGCGCCGAGGCACGGAAAATGATGCGAGGCGGTCCTGATCGTGCCGCGGGGTCGAGAGGTGCATCATCTCGACGGCGCAGCAGGCGAGGCCGAAGGTCATGGGCCAGAGGGAGGACTGGCGAGCCCAGTTTGTGATGACGTCGAGGGATGTGCTGTTTTTTTTCAAGTCTGTCAGCTGCTGTTCGGACGGCTGCGGTATCAAGAGGCACGTTGGGAGGGGAGGGTCGGCGGCAGAGTTGCGTACAGGGCATATTGCAGGACGCCCTTGGTACCCTCCTGGCTCGGGAGGGGGACGTTGTTGGGGAGCAGGCTGGGCGTGCCGGCGGTCCGGGGCTCGAGGGCGCTGGCGCGTTCGTTGCGCGACGAGGTCGAGAGGGAGGCGGCGAGGACGCGGGGTGCGATGGGTGCGAGGGAGGCGGCGGGCCTTGCTGTTCGAGGTCACATACACGTCAGCAACTTGATCGTCGTCGTATCATTTGAGGGACAGTCGGGGAGGCGAGGAGGGGCTACGTCGTGGTTTTCCGTCATGTCTAGGCCTCCGCAGGGGGGAAATGTTACCTCGTAGGGCCATTGAG